TCGAGATTCAATAAACCACTCACCTTGGGTGTATGACCACAGAAGGTTTTATTCATGTAAACAGAATAACAATTATTCTTTGACTTAAATGAATAACCGTATTGCAATAAACATGATCCAATCATATTATGCTCAACGCAAACACCAAATAACATTTATTTTAGGTTCAGCACTAAGCCCGAAGGTAAAGGGAGTGTGCGATGGTGATCTTATCAACATTGGAATCACTTCCAACACACATCGTCACCTTGCCCTCAACTAGTCTTTGTTTCATTTTGTAACTCCTGTTTTGAGTTACTAATCATAGCAACTAAACCAGTATCAAATACCAGGGGCTACTATGAACACTAGTAAAGTACACATCAATAACATGTATATCATATATACTTGTGTTCACTTTGCCATCCTTCTTATCCGTCAAGTATTTGGGGGCAGTTCCACTTCCAGTGACCATTTCCTTCGCAGTAGAAGCACTCAGTTTCAGGCTTGGGTCTAGCTTTGGGCTTCTTCATGGGAGTGGCAACTTGCTTGCCATTCTTCTTGAAGTTCCCTTTCTTTCCCTTGCCCTTTTACTTGAAACTAGTGGTCTTGTCAACCATCAACATTTGATGCTTTTATTGATTTCTACCTTCATCGATTTCAGCATCATGAAGAGCTCGGGAATCGTTTTAGTCATCCCTTGCATATTATAGTTCATCATGAAGTTCCAATAACTTGGTGATAGTGACTAGAGAACTCTGTAATCACTATTTTATCTGAAAGATTAACTCCCACTTGATTCAAGCGATTGTGGTACTCAGACAATCTGAGCACATGCTCACCGGTTGAGCTATTCTCCTCCATCTTGTAGGCAAAGTACTTGTCAGAGGTCTCATACCTCTCGACTCGGACATGAGTCTAAAATACCAATTTCAGCTCTTGGAACATCTTATATGCTCTGTGGCGTTCAAAACGTTTTTGAAGTCCCAGTTCTAAGCCGTAAAGCATGGCGCACTAAACTATCAAGTAGTTATCATACCGAGCTTGCCAAACGTTCATAACGGCTGCATCTGCTCCTGCAATAGGTCCGTCACCTAGCGGTGCATCAAGGACATAATTCTTCTATGCAGCAATGAGGATAATCCTCAGATCACGGACCTAGTCCGCATCATTGCTACTATCATCTTTCAACATAGTTTTTTCTCTAGGAACATATCAAAAATAAACGGGGAGCTACATCGCGAGCTATTGATCTACAACATAGTTATGCAAATACTACCAGGACTAAATTCATGATAAATTAAAGTTCAATTAATCATATTACTTAAGAACTCCCACTTAGATAGACATCCCTCTAATCATCTAAGTGATCACGTGATCCATATCAACTAAACCATGTCCGATCATCACGTGAGATGGAGTAGTTTTCAATGGTGAACATCACTATGTTGATCATATCTACTATATGATTCATGCTCGACCTTTCGGTCTCAGTGTTCCGAGGCCATATCTGCATATGCTAGGCTCGTCAAGTTTAACCCGTGTATTCTACGTGTGTAAAACTGGCTTGCACCCGTTGTATGTGAACGTAGAGCTTATCACACCCGGTCATCACGTGATGTCTCAGCACGAAGAACTGTCGCAATGGTGCATACTCTAGGAGAACACTTATACCTTGAAATTTAGTGAGAGATCATCCTATAATGCTACCGCCGAACTAAGCAAAATAAGATGCATAAAGGATAAACATCACATGCAATCAATATAAGTGATATGATATGGCCATCATCATCTTGTGCCTTTGATCTCCATCTCCAAAGCACCATCATGATCACCATCGTCACCGGCTTGACACCTTGATCTCCATCGAAGCATCATTGTCGTCTCGCCAATTATTGCTATCACGACTATCGCTACCACTTAGTCACAAAATAAAGCAATTACATGGCGATTGCATTTCATACAATAAAGCAACAACCATAAGGCTCCTGCCAGTTGCCGATAACTGTTACAAAACATGATAATCTCATACAACAATTTATATATCATCACGTCTTGACCATATCACATCATAGCATACCATGCAAAAACAAGTTAGACGCCCTCTACTTGTTGCAAATTTTACGTGGCTGTTATGGGTTTAGCAAGAACCGTTCTTACCTACGCATCAAAAACCACAACGATTTTTCGTCAAGTGTGCTGTTTTAACCTTCAACAAGGACCGGGCATAGTCACACTTGATTCAACTAAAGTTGGAGAAACTGACACCCGCCAGCCACCTGTGTGCAAAGCACGTCGGTAGAACCAGTCTCGCGTAAGCGTACGCGTAATGTCGGTCCGTGCAGCTTCATCCAACAATACCGCCGAACCAAAGTATGACATGCTGGTAAGCAGTATGACTATTATCACCCACAACTCTTTGTGTTCTACTCGTGCATATAACATCTACGCATAGACCTGGCTCGGATGCCACTGTTGGGGAACACAGTAATTTCAAAAAAATTCCTACGCACACGCAAGATCTATCATGGTGATGCATAGCAAGGAGAGGGGAGAGTGTAGTCCATGTACCCTCGTAGACCATAAATGGAAGCGTTATGACAACGCGGTTGATGTAGTCGTACGTCTTCACGATCCGACCGATCCTAGTACCGAAAGTACGACACCTCCGCGATCTGCACACGTTCAGCTCGGTGACGTCCCATGAACTCTCGATCCAGCTGAGTGTCGAGGGAAATCTTCGTCAGCACGATGGTGTGATGATGGTGATGATGAAGTTACCGGCGCAGGGCTTCGCCTAAGAACTACGACGATATGACCGAGGTGGATTATGGTGGAGGGGGGCACCGCACACGGCTAAGACAATGATCAACTTGTGTGTCTATGGGGTGCCCCCTCTCCCGTATATAAAGGACTGGAGGAGGGGGAGGGCCGACCCTCTCTATGGCGCGCCCTAGGGGAGTCCTACTCCCACCGGGAGTAGGAATCCCCCCTTCCAAGTATGACTAGGAGAGGAAGGAAGGAGGAGAGAGGGAGGAAGGAAAGGGGGGCCGGCCCCCCTCCCAATTCGGATTGGGCTTGGGGGCGCGCCCCCTCCTAGGCTGCCTCCTCCTCTCTCCCACTAAGGCCCAATAAGGCCCATACACTCCCTGGGGGGTTCCGGTAACCTCCCGGTACTTCGGTAAATGCCCGAACTCACCTGGAACCATTCCGATGTCCAAACATAGCCATCCAATATATCGATCTTTATGTCTCGACCATTTTGAGACTCCTCGTCATGTCCGTGATCACATCCAGGACTCTGAACAACCTTCGGTACATCAAAACACATAAACTCATAATACCGATCGTCACAGAACGTTAAGCGTGCTGACCCTACGGGTTCGAGAACTATGTAGACATGACCGAGACTCATCTCCGGTCAATAACCAATAGCGGAACCTGGATGCTCATATTGGTTCCTACATATTCTACGAAGATCTTTATCGGTCAAACCGCATAACAACATATGTTGTTCCCTTTGTCATCGGTGTGCTACTTGCCCGAGATTCGATCGTCGGTATCTCAATACTAGTTCAATCTCGTTACCGGCAAGTCTCTTTACTCATTCCGTAATGCATCATCCTGTAACTAACTCATTAGTCACATTGCTTGCAAGGCTTATAGTGATGTGCATTACCGAGAGGGCCCAGAGATACCTCTCTGATACTCGGAGTGACAAATTCTAATCTCGATCTATGCCAACCCAACAAACACCTTCGGAGACACCTGTAGAGCATATTTATAATCACCCAGTTACGTTGTGACGTTTGATAGCACACAAGGTGTTCCTCCGGTATTCGGGAGTTGCATAATCTCATAGTGAGAGGAACATGTATAAGTCATGATGAAATCAATAGCAATAAAACTAAACGACCATTTATGCTAAGCTAACGGATGGGTCTTGTCCATCACATCATTCTCTAATGATGTGACCCCGTTCATCAAATGACAACATATGTCCATGGTCAGGAAACATAACCATCTTTGATTAACGAGTTAGTCTAGTAGAGGCATACTAGGGACACTCTGTTTGTCTATGTATTCACACATGTACTAAGTTTCCGGTTAATAAAATTCTAGCATGAATAATAAAAATTTATCATGATATAAGGAAATATAAATAACAACTTTATTATTGCCTCTAGGGCATATTTCCTTCAACATCGACAAGTGGGACGCAAGAAGGGATGGACCCGCTACAACGAGAGAGACAAAGGGGGTTAAGGGGGAATGAGGCGTGCAACCCTCACTAGTCATTTTCTTCCATCTTATTCGGACCAAGCTAGTCAAAGACAAGGTGACGGTTCAAAACAGATGTGCACGCTCGAACCATTTTCAAATGCGCACCCTTGGCTAGATTACCGTAGCGGACTCCACCCCTAGAATGGCTAGAGTTTCCCGTGAACACATGAACAATAATGTAAACTGAAAGAATCCGTCTTTGTCTCAGACGATTCAAACTTTCTTAAGTCTAAATTCATTTTTCAAGAAGTCTTATCAGATTAGCAAAAGTGTCACCTACACCGCACTTTTACAAAAACATATGTAAGTTACAGTTTTTACTAGTTGGCAAATTCAAAATTAATTTCAATTATATTTGGACCAAGTGATATAGATTGCCTATCTACCTCGCAGTCTTCCATGGTTGGGTGAATAATTGATGAGAGAAGTTACAAGTGTGAGAGTAGAGTGTGTTCTACCTCCCACACTCCACTCCATGGGTTGGTGAATAATTGAGGAGAGAAGTTACTAGTCCCACGCGTCAAAGCTAGAGCTTTTCCCTTTCCGGCTCAAGACTTCGGGCCTGTTCGGCAACTGCCCAACTCCAGAAAATCCTCAAATCCGGCTTCTCGATCTAGCTTTGGTCATTGCCCAACCGCGTACTGTGCAGTAGCCACCACCTTCATTGCCCAAAACGATCAACTCAGCACGCGGGGTTCCCAGGCGGAGGAGGCGAGGAGCGGCGCCGGCGGCGACCGATGGATCCAGGTGACGGCCACGACCTAGATCCTTCTCGATTACCGGGCAAAAATGTTTCTTTTTTCCTCGATTTCTCACTGCTGTGTGTGGTGGTTGGGTCAGGCGGCGCCGCCGCCGCCGCCGCCAAGCGCGCGGTGTGGTGCTGGATGTGGGGGATGCACGACAACTCGGACGACGCGGGCGACGGCCATAAGCAGTTCCATCTCGTGGCCTCCGCCGATTTCAGCCACGACACGGTGAGAACCTAGCTCCCCTTCGACCCCCTCCCCTCCTCCCTGTCGATTGTGCCTCGACCACCGCCGTTGCTTCCGGTGTTGCTTGTAGCATGAAAGAAAGTCAGTGCGCACCGGCACCTCCTGCTAGATTTCAGCGTGCGAGAAACATCACTGCCTCCGCTGCTCAACATGTACTTTTCTCAGGGAAGGGTGCCAATGTCCATGACTGAAACTGAAACTTTTTGCTAAAACAGTCCATGACTGAAACTTGTGGCGCACATTATTTCTCTCTTGTTAAGTAGCAAGTAGAGTGATGTAAATCCAGGCTCAACACTGTCTGTCATACCAATAAGTAGTATTCGTGCCAATAAGTAGATCTCAGTCAGTTCTTGACTGTTGCATCATCTATTCTTGCTGGATTGGAGATCCCAGCACCTTTCTTGGCCTCATCTGGTTAGATGTTGCAGAATGATCCAAAAGGCATCTTCGGAGAAGGCCTTGAGAGTGTTGGACATCTCGCTGGATACAGATTGTGTTGCTTCAGATGCATTTTGTTGCTTCAGATGCATGAGGCCCACTTGCTTAATTTCCTCCCATTGCTCCATTCAGTTTCTGTGAATCTGTACCGTTAGTTCCGATTACTGAACCAGGGTTTCAAGGAACTCAGATTTCAGAAACCCACTGGAATAGAAAAGTTTTAATTTCATTCTTAGCTACAGTACCATATGTTGCGTGATACTAAAATCAAGCTCCCATCGAGATATATAATTAGTAGTGTACACTGCCTGTGCGTGGAGCTCTTATGGAGATAAGCGTTGGTACTGTACACTGCTGGTGTACCATGATGTGCTATCTATTTGATGTGTTCACCAAGAATGATATAATTTGGTAGTTAACTTTAGTCGTGTAAGTGTGAGATTTAACCGTTCGTCCTGTAATGTGTGTTCCGGACTGTTAGCATGCACATTGCTCTACCGTTGCCCATGATGTATACTTGGCCCAAGTCCTAGTGATTACGCTTTGTTTGTAGCCAAGTTCGTAGCAGCATTGACGTTCAGGCTCTGTACATGTATAGTGCACCACCCACCGGTGTATTTTTGTGTGCCTGATCTTATTCTCCTACATGGAAATATGATTTATTTTTTGGTTTGCTTTGTCTTCCGTGTCTGCTGGCAGTCATGCATTCTGAACTATGTCTCGATTTCTTGCAAACTGTGTGCACAAACGACGGAACTTATATCTGACTCTAATCAATATGTATCTTCTTTCTCCTTAAACAGCGTATGCCCGGGGAGTTTGGAAACCACTTGACGAATATAACCCCCGAGTCTGATCTTGTCAAACTTGTAGCTCACGACGAACCTATTTCTGACTCTAATCGATGTGAAGCAAATGGCGGTTCAGCGAGCGATACTGATATGCAACTTGAAGTGACCTTGAGCACCTTGGCTATTCAATTCTTTTGCCGCTTTTATGAGAATGTCCACATGCGTGGTTTGACTTGGCAGGATGATGAGTATATGCAATGGGTCTCTGGATACCATCACATAGAGCGAACCAATGGCCTTTCTGCCAGGTTTATGAATGAGCTCATTGGAGTTGGATGCTACTCTTATTTCCCCTTTGGACCATTTGGGCCGGGAAGCACCGTGATCACTATTCCTGAAAGTGCATGGGCTGAAATTTCTGTTGGGCTTCAGAGCATGCTCATAACTAGGCTTGACTCTTTTCTTCAGCCCAAACATTCCAATGCTATGGGCTTGAATAATTCTGCTTGCACTTTACCACCTGAATCTGTATGTGTGTTGGCTGATGCTGCAGTGTCTTCAAGTGTGTTGGCTGATGTTGCAGTGTCTGATACTTCTATGTTTGAGGCTGCTGTGCCGGAATTTGCTACAGTGTCTGAAGGTGTGCTGGCTGCTGCTGTAGTATCTGATGGTATTATGGTTACTGCTGCAGTGTCTGATACTGCAGTATCTGCATGTGCTTTGAACTCTACTGCAGTGCCTGATGTTATGACTGATATCCATGAAGCTGCCGGTGCCAATACTGTTAAGAAGAGGAGCAGATCAGAGGTTGTGGTGGTGACTGAACATGGTCGAGGACCGCACAGTGACAAGGAGAGATGTGTGCCTATGGAGCTCCCATCTGAGAATCCTAAAAGGAAGAAATCTTCTGTTGTGATGACCACAGGCCAACAGTGCCTTCAGATTTCAGCAGTGCAGCAAATGGGGGTTGAACAGTGCGGTATTGAAGTTTGTTCCAACAATCTCATGGGACCTTCTCAGCGTCCCTATATTCTACCCAAGAAGACAACTCTACCTAGTGAATTGGAGAAAAAAGTAAAGGAGAAAGTCAAGACTATTCAATCTGAACTTCCCATCTTCGTGAGAGAGTTAAAAACATACTCTGTTGTTGGCACAGGCCAAGGAGGATGTGCTCTGGTGAGTTTACATACTCTTCACCCGTAGCTACACTCTTGCCTATTATTTGTAGTTTCCTGTTGATTTTGCAATGAAATTTCAGCATTACGTTGCAGAAATAGCACTTGTTTGATTTTTTTTCATCTAAAAACTTACACAACTGGCTAGAAATTATTTCGTCTGAATTAAATATTGATCTGAATTTTTGAACTTATGCATTTATGATGGAGTAGGTATTTTGCAAGGAATTTGCTTCGGCATGTGGCCTCCCGCACGCAAAGAAAACAACCATACATCTTCAGCTGGAGGACAAAACGACGGTGCCATGGCCTGTCAAGTTAATCTGCAGTGAGCATAACAGCAACCAGAGGTGGCTTACCACGGGGTGGAACAAATTTGTCACGGACAATGGCCTGAAGAAAGGAGATGCCTGCCTCTTCCAGCCAGACAAGAGCAGCAACACTGAGGGCCTTACAATGACTGTTTATCTGATTCGCAAGTCGTCGGAAAAGGAGCTGTAGCTCAAGCATGTTGACTTGTGGTTTCTTATCAATCGTCTATATTTAGTATGGCTCTAATAACTCTTATGCCCTCCTATGAGAGCTGACTTGTTGACCAACTTGATGTTGAGTTCATTTAGGTGACTTGTAGCTGTTAAACAACTACCTAGTATGTATGTCTGTGCCATGTGTTGCTGCTTCAGATGGGATTAGGAGCTACTTTATTATTCAGAGTGTTGTTTGGTGCATGAATGCATGGTTCAAATTTGATTATGCTGTGGGTAGGATGAATGGTCACAGGAACTTGGTGTACCTTGTTGAACCCCATTCTGTTAGCTGTAGATCAACTTTATCATGAATGCATTTTGGCCCCGAAAATAACCCAACCACGCTGAAGTGTAGAACATTAGAAACTGGTACTTACATGCAAAGTTTAAGTTTTGGGGGTCTCTACTGATATGAAAAGTTTGCTGCTGGAAGCTTATTTGCATGGTGAAAAATAGAGGCGTTCGACCGTTCATCGCCTCGATTACATAAGTGTCCTCTGTCATGACAAAACGACATTCTAGAGTTGTTTGACTCAGTAACTAGTACTGTTTAACTTTCTGAATGTTGAACACCGGGAGGCTTCCCATGATCTGTAAGATGTTGCAAAATGACATGGTTCAACCTTGTTATAACCTCAGGTACTAACCAACTTTGCTTGCCTGTACAGAAGGTGTCACATACATATCACAGGTCGGTCATGTTTCTACTCCCAAGTACGTACCTCTCAGCAAAAAAGTTCACTGTTTTTGCAAACATGTTTCTACTCCCATACGCAAAGAAAACATCCATATATCTTCAGCTGGAGGACCAAAAGGTGTCGTGGGATCAACTTTATCTTTCTTGTAATTGCTCTGGACCAGAAAAACAACAATATGCAGAGTTTATGTTTTGGGGGCTCAACTGATATGAAAAATCACCTGCAAATACTGCTGGAAACTTATTTGCATGGTGAAAAATGGAGGTGTTCCGTCGTTCATCGCCTCGATTACGAAAGCGGTCCCCGGCACGACAAAACGGTTCATTGTTATGGAAAACCATTTGCATACACCGCAACTGCAACGCCCTTCCCCTTTCTCCGCGTGTGCAATCTCTACCTATTTTCTTACATAATGCTGGGCCTTACACACACCATTAAGAGCACAAGAAGATGACACATACATGATGGGCGTTCCTCCTCTGGGTTTCAAACCGTGACCGGCGAGTAACAAGCGCGAGGCGACATCCACCAGGCCAGTTCAGTTGGTGTGATTATGTACATGTTTCCTTTCTTTTCTTCTTTTTCTTCTTTTTTTTCTTTTTTCAAATTCGTGAAACTTTTCTTTCTTCATGAGTTTTTCCTCTGCAAAATAGATGGAGTTTTTCTCGAATTTGATGAGTTTGTGAAAAATTCGATGAACTTTTTTTCAAATCCGATGAACCTTTTAAAAATTCAATGAACTTTTTTCAAATTTGATGAACTTTTATCAAATTCGATGAACTTTTTTCAGAATCGATGTACTTATTTTGAAATTCTGTGAACTTTTTCAAAACCAATGAACTTTTTTCAAATTCGACGACCTTTTTTCAAATTCGATGAACTTTTTTGAAAACCGGTGAACTTTTTGCTAATTCGCTGAACTGTTTTCCTAATCCGATGAACTTTTTTCAAATGTAATGAACTTTATTTCAAATCCGATGATCTTTTTTCAAATTCGATCAACTTTTTCAATTTTTGTGTTCAAAATTGATGAACTTTTTTTAGAATTGATGAACATTGTAAAATTCGTGAAATGTTTTTAAAATTCGTAATTTTTCAGATCCATGTGCTTTCAGTTTTGTGAACGAAGGGACGAACAGAAAAAAAAAAGAACGAACGAACGAAACGTGCACGAAGGAAGGGAAGGAGCGAGCGATGGAGAACGGAAAGCGTGAGTGTGCTAGCTGGGCCGGCCCACTAGAGGCTGCTGCGCGAGCGCCCGCTAGCGAACGGGCGCATAAGGCGCCGTAGAGGAGGTCTCCGCACCGGCAGAGATTCTTTCCAAGATAAATTTTGATTTTGGCAAGGCATTTAGCCCATCAAACCATTATATATCTTGGCCCACTGGATACATAAGGCTTCATCAGCCCGTTCTAATGACGGGAGTTGTGATCGCTAGATGGGCCGACCCAATATAGGTTCCATTTTTTTTGAGGTGATCCAATTTCCAGGGAAGGGTTTTGGGAAGCTTCTATGACCGGTTTTTGAATGGTTTTAGAAGCCTCTAAGCGGTCTATTTTTTCTCTTTTCCGTTTTTCTATGTTTTTTCACTGATTTTATTCAGTTTTTTTCTTTTTTTTCTTTTTCTCAAGACATTTATACTAATTTAATACACGTTCAATAGTTTTCAAATACATGTTTTGAACATTCTTTTGAATAGTACATGTTAAATACATTTTTTAGAAAATGTTAAATATTTTTAAATACACATTGTACATTTATTAAATGAGTGAAATATTTTTTATACTACATGAACATTTTTTAACTTCATATACACATTTTTAAAAACATGTTAAGAACATAATTTTCAAAACACTCAAACATTTTTTAGTGGCAAGGAATATTTTGTATGAATTATGTGGAAATTCTTTTACATTGTATAAACATATTGTAGAATGTCACAAAACATTTTTTTGAAATGCGTGAACATGTTTAAAATGTTATTAACATATTTTTTAATAGTGTTAACCATTTTTTAAGTTGCGTTATTGAGAAATGTTTTGGTTGCCGATCCAGAGCTAGCTAGGTCCGGCAGCCATCGACATTTACTAGAGGTAACTGATACGTCTCCAACGTATCTATAATTTTTGATTGTTCCATGCTATTATCTTATCAATTATGGATGTTTTATATACGTTTACAAGCAACTTTATATCATTTTTTGGGGCTAACCTATTAACTTAGTGTCCAGTGTGAGTTGTTGTTTTTTGCTTGTTTTTTTGACTTTGCAGAATATCAGTACCAAACGAAGTTCAAATGCCACGAAACTTTTTAAAGATTTTTTTTTCTAGCGATAAGAGACCGTGGAAGCTTCTGGAGGCCACGAGAAGACGAAGGGGTGGCCCCCTAAGCACCAGGGCGTGCCAGGGGCCTCTGGCGCGACCTGGTGGGTAGTGGGCCCACAAGCCTCCGTTTGACCTACCTCCGCCTCTATGAATACTCTAAAATCCCAAAACCTACAGGAGAGTCCATGAAATATTTTTTCTGCCGCCGTAAGTTACAGAACCACGAGATCCAATCTAGAGTCCTTTTCCGGCACTCTGCCAAGGGAGGAAACGATCACGGAGGGGTTCTTCATCATCCTTGTTGTCCCTCTGATGATGCGTGAGTAGTTTACCACAGACCTATGGGTCCAGAGTTAGTAGCTAGATGACTTATTCTCTCTTTTTGATCTTCAATACAATGTTCTCCTCGGTGTTCTTGGAGATCTATTTGATGTACTGACTTTTTACGGTGTGTTTGTTGGAATTCGATGAATTATGAGTTTATGATCAGATCTATCCATGAATATTATTTGAGTTTTCTCTGAACTCTTTTATGCATGATTGTTATAGTCTCGTATTTCTTCTCCGATTTATTGGTTTGGTTTGGCCAACTAGATTGATTTATCTTGCCATGGGAAGAGATGCTTTGTGATGGGTTCGATCTTGCGGTGCTCAGTCTCAGTGGCAGAAATGTTGGGGAACGTAGTAATTTCAAACAAATTTCCTACGCACACTCAAGATCATGGTGATGCATAGCAACGAGAGGGGAGAGTGGTGTCCACGTACCCTCGTAGACCGAAAGCGGAAGCGTTAGAACAATGCGGTTGATGTAGTCGTACGTCTTCACGATCCGACCGATCCAAGTACCGAACGTACGGCACCTCCGAGTTCAGCACACGTTCAGCTCGATGACGTCCCACGAACTCCGATCCAGCAGAGCTTTGAGGGAGAGTTCCGTCAGCACGACGGCGTGATGACGGTGATGATGATGCTACCGATGCAGGGCTTCGCCTAAGCACCGCTACGATATGACCGAGGTGGATTATGGTGGAGGGGGGCACCGCACACGGCTAAAAAATCAATGATCAATTGTTGTGTCTATGGGGTGCCCCCTGGCCACGTATATAAAGGAGTAGAGGAGGGGGGAGAGGGCCGGCCCCTATGGCGCGCCCTGGAGGAGTCCTACTCCCACCGGGAGTAGGATTCCCCCCTTCCATGTAGTAGGAGTAGGAGAGAAGGAAAGGGAAAAGAGAAGAGAAGGAAGGAGGGGCGTGGCCCCTCCCCCTAGTCCAATTCGGACTAAGCCTTGGGGGGGCGCAGCCTCCCCTCTCTCTTTCCCCTAAATCCCAATAAGGCACATATACTCCCCGGCGAATTCCCGTAACTCTCCGGTACTCCGAAAAATACCCGAATCACTCGGAACCTTTCCGATGTCCGAATATAGTCGTCCAATATATCGATCTTTACGTCTCGACCATTTTGAGACTCCTCGTCATGTCCCCGATCTCATCTGGGACTCTGAACTACCTTCGGTACATCAAAACACATAAACTCATATTTTCAATCGTCACCGAACGTTAAGCGTGCGGACCCTACGGGTTCGAGAACTATGTAGACATGACCGAGACTCATCTCCGGTCAATAACAAATAGCGGAACCTGGATGCTCATGTTGGCTCCTACATATTCTACGAAGATCTTTATCGGTTAAATCGCATAACAACATATGTTGTTCCCTTTGTCATCGGTATGTTACTTGCCCGAGATTAGATCGTTGGTATCTCAATACCTAGTTCAATCTCGTTACTGGCAAGTCTCTTTACTTGTTCTATAGTACATCATCCCGCAACTAACTCATTAGTTACAATGCTTGCAAGGCTTATAGTGATGTGCATTACCGAGAGGGCCTAGAGATACCTCTCCGACAATCGGAGTGACAAATCCTAATCTCGATCTATGCGAACTCAACAAGTA